ACACCTCAGTCAATCAACCGTGGCAGCAAGTGTGCGGTACTCGTGATTGTGTGCAGTCTGGGCGCAAAATCACAGATGCTTGGAATCAGCAGCACGGGTATAGCACCTCACAAGCCTCCACCATCCCTCCGTGGCCACTACCACGCACTCACGACCCGGAGCGAGTGCCGTAGCTCGAAATGGCAGTCGAGCAGGTCAACTTGCAAGTCGATGGGAGAGAGCGCTCTGATGCTGCATCGGCGATCGACCGGCAGATGCTTGGCAGCCGGCCGCGGCAGTAAGCTGCATATGGGTGAAGAGCAAGCAAGGCGTACAGCAGCATGTGATGCACGGCATCAGGCATTCCATGCGAGTCATCTGATTCTTGATGATTGGGCTGCAGGCAGCTCACGCCTTGGCACCCGGGCCGACCGTAGTGCCTTGTCACGGATGTGTTGGCCTTGCCAGCTGCGTCGAGGACGGACAAGGAAGCGTTGATTTGAGCGCCATTCTTCAAATAGAAATCACAATGAGCATCGTGTCTACCGTCCTGAGGGTTATTCATACGGTTTATGAGTACATGAGTGGTGAGCTGAAGTTGTACTCACAGACTATGACTCGCTCGCGATGCACCAGGCTCGCGTGCCGCACACGTCGACAGAGTGTTCATGAAGATGACCACAGCGCATGCATTCAAGATCCAACATCAGAGCAGCAGCAACAGCAGCAGCAGAAGCAGCATCAGTAACAGTCTTGAGTCCTATTTATGATGAGGGCATGGAGCTCGAATTGGATGCTGCCAGATTCTTGATTTGCTGGCCCGTTCGCCCGTGCAGCTTTGCTTTGTTCGAACTCAAAACTCGAGACGGTTGCACAGTATCTCCGCATTTGCCAAGCCGCGCCCTGGCCGAGGCCGAGCCGCCGGCCATTTTTAATTGTCGATAAAACTGTCGTTTGCATGGGTGTATTTGCCGCACACACGAAAGAGCTGCTCAATTTGGAAACAATCATCGCCCGGACTCACAGGCATTCGCTTCGTGGATGCCGTCCTCAAAGGCGTCTGAGATGCGTCTTTGAGAGTGCGCGCTGAGTGGAAGTCACAGTGGAGGCTTGCTGTGCGTTCGCAAATGACAATCACGTGAATTGCTGGATGGCAAAGGAGCAGTCTTGAGTCTGAGTATCGAATGATCATGTGGCGCATAGTGTAGATTCAAGGTCATGTATGCTGTGCCGAAGAGATGAATGCCAAGGAATGTTTAGGGACCATCCAGTATGATTGACTTGCATGTGAAGCGTGAGTGACGCGG